GGAAGACGGCCATCGGGCTGGTGGTGGACCCGTGGTCCGAGACGAGGGCAATGTCCGAGGCATGGCCATCCCCATCGAAGTCGCCGAGGATGATGTTGCCCGGGATGAAGCCGGCCGGCAGCTGGAGAAGGCCCCGCGGCAGGTAGCGCGCCCCACCGGACAGGGTCGGGTCCAGGAAGCGGCTCAGGTGGGTCAAGACGTAGACGTCCGCCGGCATGCCCTGCAGCTTGCCGGCGACCAGGGCCTCTGGCAGGCCGTCATTGTCCAGGTCCACGGATGCCATGCTGGTGACATCCAGGAAGTTGCCCAGCTGAAAGGTCACAACATGCGGTTGGGCGTCGGCGTTGCTGCTCAAGTGGACGACCCGGCCGAAGAGAGCGTGCGTCCTCAAGAGGGACAGCAAGCCGGAGCGGGGCTGGCCCGGGCCCATGGGATAGGCGGTGATCAGGACCGGCGGCACGATGCTGCCCAGGCTGTACTCTGAGGCGAACAGCCCGTTGGACTGGTACATGATGTCTTGGACGGCGGAGTGGAAGATCTCCTGGATGTGGCCAAACGCCGGGCTGTAGTACGTGTCCAGGTAGGTCAACGGGGCCAGGGGGAAGGGCACCTTCGAGGCGCAGTGGAAGGTCTGAACGCCGGCGTGGGCAAAGTGCACCGGGCGCCGGGTGCCCGGGGTGGGGGCATCCCCGGAGGCCCGGTCGTCGGGGGACGCCTCGAAGACGTAGTGCGAGTCGTAGAAGACCAAGTCGTCCAGGCCGTCCGGCGCCCCGGGCGACAGGGTGTCCTGGTTGAAGAAGTCGCAGAAGTGGATGTTCTGCCGGTAGTTGATAGACTGGCCGGTGGCCTCGGGCAGGGCGTGCAGCAGGTGGTATTCCAGGCTGGCCGGGGTGGGCAGCAGGGCGGCGCGCGTGGTGGCCGCCGCGGCCAGCAGGGCCAGGCCGGCCAGCAGCCAGGCCAGGGGCGTGCGGCTGCCGGGGTTGCCGGGGTTGCCGGGGTTGCCGGGGCCGGCCGTGGCGTGCGGCCGGCTCCTGCCCGGGGCCGGTGGCCGGGGGCCGGTCATGATGCGTTGCAGGCGCGTGTGGGCGATTCTTCGTAGCGGGGTGACACTCGGAAGCAGGAGGCAGGCGAGGGGGGCGAGGGGGGCTAGCAGCATGGGGTGCATGCGGGGCCGGGGGGTGTTCAGCCCCCGGGGATGTGGCTTTTATAGTGCATCGTGCGGGTCAGGGAGGACCTCGGGCATTGGCGGCACGCGAGCCACAGGCCGGTGTTGGCGCATGTGGTTGCGCGCGCGCGCGCGCGTGTGTGTGTGTGTGTGTGTGTGTGGTTGTGTGTGTCTGCGCGGCGGGGAGGCGCGCAGGGAGGGGAGTTGGCGCACTTGCCCGATGGCGGGATGAGGGCCACCGGCCCCAGGGACCGTGCCCTGGCAAGCGGCTGGCATGGACATCGAGCCCGGCGGGGGGCCCCCCCCCCCCCCCCCCCGGGGGGGGGGGGGGGGGGGGGGGGGGGGGGGGGGGGGGCGGGTCGTCCCCGCGCCAGGGCGGACCCCGAGCGCCCGAGGTCCGGGCTCGGGAGTCTCGGCGGCTGGGGGCGGGGGCCGGCGAGCGCGGGGGCCGGCGAGCTCCGGGGCAGAAAGCGCGGAGGCTCGGCCGGACACATGCCCGGGATCAACTGCCTTTCCGCACAGAAGGCGGGGGCCAACCGAAACACCTGTGGCCGCACGTTTGTGAGGCCAGATCCCGTCGGTGCTGCTGGGCCTCCCCCCCCCCCCTGGCGTCCGTGAGAATGATGCTGAGTTGTTTCGCCGCCTGGCAGGGGCGAGGGGTGGGGGCGTGGTGCCGCGCCCCCCGAGGCCGGAACATGTTTTTTTCGGCCCGCCTGTGGGGATGGGCCGGGTACCAGCA